AACAACCTTGGTTTCTCTGCTAATCTGTCAGTACCCCGAGGACTGGGTCCCTAAATTTGCTCTATATTAACAACTATATTAACAACCATCTCTTAGGACTGCCTACATTGGCATAGGTATTTGAAAAGTTGGGGGGCTTTTGTCTTTAAAAGTTTGATTTTTTAAAAAATATTTTATTGCTGGGTGTGGTGGCACACACCTTTAGTCCCAGCACTCAGGAGGCAGAGGCGGGTGGATCTCTGTGAGTTCAAGGCCAGCCTGGTCTACATAGTGAGTTCCAGGCCAGCTGGGGCTACAGGGAGATCCTGTCTTAAAAAAAAGACCAAAATAATAATAATAATAATAAATAATTATTATTAATAATAATAATACATTTTTATTTATTATTTTTAATTTATGTGTATGAGTGTATTGCCTGCATGTATGTGAGTGCACCCGTGCTGTGCAATCCCACAGAGGTCAGAAGAGGGCTTCGGAGGGCTTCGGATTCCCCGGGAACTGGAGCTAAGGACTGTTCATAGCCCCCATGTGGGTGCTGGGATTGAACCCAGGTCCTCTGTAAGAGCAGTCAGTGCTCTTAACCGCTGAGTGGTCTCTCCAGCCCCAAAGAGTTTGTTGTTTTTTTTTAACTTTCAGTCCTGCATACCCACCCCGCTGCATGAACACCTTCTCTCTCATCCTCTTCTGGGGACCGAAGTGAGCATCCCCCACTAGTGGATTTGGGAGATGCGTCCATTAAACCACCTGCCTGATGGCTCTGTGGCCCCTTTGCTGCCAACCAGCCAGCAATGGAGAGAAATGATGAGTCAGCACTCCCCGCTCCAGTGACCAAGGCTGCCTGCTCCAGACCTTCCCAGGGCGCATCCTCACCTGTAATGGAGAAATTATGTGAGACATAATTTATAGTAAAAATCAAATGAGCATCCGTTCTGCTGAGCCACCAATGCAGAAAGGGCACTGGGTTGCTGCAGGTGGGGGCTGCAGCCGAGGATGGCAGAGCAGAGGTTGTGCAGGTTAGAGTGCTGCCAGTTGGGCAGTGGGCAGGGTGCCGAGGCCTGACCCCTTCTTGGTGGCCATAGGACATATGTCCATCTAACCATGGAGACATCTCTAGCTAGGAGACATGGTGAGTAACCCGTTACAACTGGAATGCAATACCGGGAACATACCCTCTCACCCATCTGCTCTCCCTCTGAAGCTTTCACAAGCCTCAGCTACAGGTGCTGAGCACCCACTCTCCTGCTTCCCGCTCTCCCTGTTACCTCCTCCTTGGTTAAAACAGTACAGTGACAATTCTCCCGCTGAGTCTCCTTAAGTCTATGTGGGCTTCAAAGGGCAGACTATAACGAATTTTCCAGATTTCAGACTGAGTTATGTCTCTTGTCTCTGAGAAACATGCCACGGGCTCACCCCCATCCCTAGTGAAAACCCAGGCTGGAGGTACGGGAGCACTGAGTCAAGGCCCTCCCTTGCCGCCTCTTTCCTCCTCACACACCACTCCCTGAAGGAAGTTCCTACGAGCTCCACAAGAACAGGCCCATGCCCACTTTGCCCTTGCTGTGCCCTGGAGGCACACAGCAAGGCCTCCCAGCTATGGATGACATATGTCTTGTGGGCTGTCTGCCCTGGCAGGGTAGGGGGTGACTCACCAGAGAGGGCTAAGGATGCCACTGGGGGGCCTGGCTTTTCTTCCTTCTCCTGCAGCCTTCCTAGGGCCCCATCCTGATGACATCGCTCTCAGGGAACTTGTAAAGGTAGAGGGTTGCCTTCATGCCTGTCATCTGCCCTCCTTGAGCCCTCTGGTCCCTGGCAACGGGCATATGGCCTCCTTCCCTCTCTGGCTAACCTCTGGGCCCAGATGGACCCTAGGTGTGAAGGCACAGGCCCAGATGGCTCCCATTTGCAGGTGGGTGCGAATGCCTGGTACTTGGGCACATTTGCCCTCTCAGAGGGTGGCATCAGCCCAGAATCACCTCAGATTACAAAAACATCCTGCCTTTGGAGAAAGTGAAGAATTTCCAGGGAGTGTGGGGAGATATTTTGGACAGACAGGGTCTCTTCTGGGTTCCTTCTGCCAAGTGTGCTCTGGGTTTTCTTCTCAACTTACTGAAAATGCTGTCAACGGCCAGGCTCATCCAGACAAAGCCTTTGGACAGGACAGGCTCTACCACTGGGTCCTCAGCTGGCTAGGGGGTTCTGGACCTACAGACTTTCCTGTCAGAGGCAACCAAGTCCTTCCCCTAAAAGGGGGAAGTAGCAGACTGAAGCCTCCAGGCCCCAGTCCACCACCCTTCCCAAGAGTGGGCGCCCGGAGCTCTTGTGGGCCTGCCCTCAGTTTCTCCTTATTTTGCCAAACTTAGAGGACTACCAAACCAATCACAGCACACCATCAACTGAAGGCCTGATTTCACCTAACATCTCTGTCCTAACTAGACCCTGTGGGACAATTGACCCTCTTCAGCCCAATTGCTTTCTCTCCCCCCGCCCCCGACCACCCCCTTCAGTCCTTTGTAGAATGTCCCTCAGTTTGGGTTGTCTAATGTTTGGCTGTTGGTCAGATTGGAGTGATGGTTAAGTAGTTTCCCATGACGTTGAATCTACCGAGGGCATGTGCAGTGTACAAGGGATCACCAAGGATACCAGCCTTCATGTCTACCGAGGTGCAGCCTCCTAGGCTTATGTCCACAGAGCTCTTCACCCTTCAGTCTCTCACCCTGACAGCCAGTCATCAAGTCATCCAGGCCTAGGGATGGACAGTTGCCTTCCAAAGTGGACAGCACCTACCAAATTCTTGAACTACCCGTCTCCCTCCCTCTCTGCCTGTTTTATCTATTCAACGATTTGCGTCCCTAGAGGCTCATGGACATTTTATTTTTTAATTTTAAATTAAAATTATTAAAATATAAAAATTATTAAAAAGTATGTGTGTGTGTGCATTCCATGACGTGTGAATGTGCGGAGGTCAGAAGACAACTGTGGAGTCAGTTCTCCCCTTCCACTTTTAACACAGGTTCCCAAGGTTGAACTCAGGTAATCAGGCTTGAAAGGCCAGTGCCTTTACCGTCTGAGCTGTCCCACCAGCTCTCACAGGTGTTATATATGCTGGGTTATATTCCAGGACCCCTTTGTTAGTCCAACTTCCCCAGCCTTGATCCTCAGTGGTATCCACTTTGGATGCTCCTACTTCTGGTCTGCTAAGCTCTCTTGCCCAATGCTCCAGGCTCCTCTGATCCACCCCACACAGAACCAGCTATTTCTACCTGGAAACTAGTTCCTTTTATTGTTGAATGATGTTTTCACCAAAACCCAGGGCCTGCCATTGCTTCTAGAACTCTCCAGACACTCTAGCTGAGCCAAGAGGCCTATATGTAGTGATCCTGTGTACACATCCATCAACAGGCAAAGGCAGACCTGCATGTGTACCCAGTGACCCCATGTGTGCACACCTCCTGATTATTTCTACATATATCCATCAGTCTCTGTGTGAAGCTAAACACGCTCGCACCACTAGGACTCCTGGAAGGTCACAGAACATTCCTAGTTGTCCTGGGCAGCAGGACAGTTAGATGGAGTTTAAGGTGGCTAACAAGCGTGGTGCTAAATATTTTAGCACTTCGTTTCCTTTGAATTAATGATTAGGCAAGTTAAGATAAAATTGGTACAGCCAATGGACCCCATAGTCTCCCTCTGGGGTGATCAGTCCATAAGAGGACATGGACAAGGTCTGGAGATGTTTCTGGTTGTCACAAGTAGACGGTAGTGTTAACTACTACCAAATACAGGTGAGGGAGGCAGCTTCCTCTGGTGCCCGAGAAGGAAGGGCCCCAGGGGATTCCTCAGTCAGAGGAGCAGTTGCCCTGTGCCCAGCTCCATTTCCTCCCAGAATGCCTCTCCTGACTCGGGGCAAGTCACAGTTATTGATTCCCCACCAGAGCACACTCCGCCCAGGAGTCTCCCCTCTTTGTGAGAACATGGCTGAGGACAAGGAAGGGGAGCCGGGCATGTAGGAGTGCTGGGGACAGCAGGCCCGAGGACAACACGGTCTGGAGCACAGGTGATGTTCAGACCCAGAGCTTCCTGGATGCTCGTCTCCCATCAGAGGAAGCATTCCGTCTCCCATCAGAGGAAGCATTCCGTCTCCCGTCAGAGGAAGCATTCCGTCTCCCGTCAGAGGAAGCATTCCGTCTCCCATCAGAGGAAGCATTCCGTCTCCCATCAGAGGAAGCATTCCCTCTCCCATCAGAGGAAGCATTCCATCTCCCATCAGAGGAAGCATTCCGTCTCCCATCAGAGGAAGCATTCCGTTTGACAGGGTTCCTGTGCTCTATGAGTTGAGGGGCCTTACCCTGGCTTCTACTCTCAAGATAGCTGGGGGATCAATCCCCTGGTTCAGCCTCATAGCCACTCTGTTCTGTGACATCTTGCCTGCTGTATGTGTCTGAAATCTTCTTGAAGCTCTGTCCATCTACCCATCCACTCAGCTACCCATCCATCAATTCATCCATCCATCCATCCACCCATCATCCATCCATCATCCACCATCCATCCATCCACCCATCATCCATCCATCATCCACCATCCATCCATCCATCCATCCATCCATCCATCCATCCACCTATCCATTCATCTCCTCCTCTCCATATCTACTTATCCACCTGCCCACACACCCAACTACCAATCTATCTAACCTCTCAACCATTCATCTACCCCCTGAAGGCTTACTGTGTTCTAAGAGAGTGAGAAAGATGCTCCTGCCCTTTTGCAGTTGAGTCTGATTAGTGAGGCAGACACTAAGAAAACAGGACGACATATGCCATGGGAAGTGGTATAAATGAAAGAGTCAGCTACAGAGAAGGGGCTACAGGGGCTGTGCTCTGGGTGGAGGTAGGGGCTCCCAGGAGGAGTCTGAGCAGACGCTGTGTTAGTAGTGAGTGAAACGGACCACACACTTGCTTTACAGTCTCCAGGAGGCTAAGAGAAGAGCATGACATCATCAGTCCTTCCACACAAGTTTATTGGCAGGTGTTATTCCATGCACGTGGGGGGGGGGCACACAACTGACAACTCGCAAAGCGGCTTGGCCTTACTCCTAGAGCTCGGTCTTGCACAGGTTAGTCAAGAAGCCCTTCGGCACTGAGCATGGCAGTTCATGTCTGTAATACTGGTGACTCCAAGTGTGGGCAAGTTCGTACGGGGACTGAAGGCAGAACACTTGCTTCTCATGTTGTCCAAGTTCACTCCTAGTCCTGGAAAAAAGAAAGAAAGAAAAAGGAAAGGATCCACAGCAGGGTCTTGGGTGCCAGGAAGACAAGTGGGGAATGGGCGGCTGGCAGCACCCCTGAAGGAGGCAGGGGAGGTTGGACGACCCTCTGCAAGGTGATGGGTGTTTGCTGGAAGGCTACCCGCAACCTGGAGTGTACAGAGCAGGCCAGGCTCCCCAATGCCCTGGCCATAGCATGGGCACTGACTGGAGCAGGAGTAGCCTGGCAGAGGCTGTCACATGGGACCAGGCTGAGAACAGTGGTTGTTCTGACGATGCACAGCCTGCCTGTGGGCGTGGTGCTCAGCAGACTCCTTCAGGAGAGCCTCCACCCAACCCTCTGAAGTGAGCACAACAGGATTGAGGGGGGGCCCTCTAGAAAGGTCCTTTCTTATCACCTTCCACAGGAGGCTGTTCCACTTGCCTAGGGGTCCCTCCCAGTTCTGCCCCACTCTGTGTCCCAGACAGACCCTAGGGGGTCTCTGTCTGAACAAAGTCTCACATGGTCACCAACTTGGGACCTGAATCCCACTGCTCAGCCAAGCACGTCCATGCCCACTTCCAGCTGCATGCACTGGAAGCAGTGGCCTTCGACACTGTGGCTGGTGGGCGGACAAGAACATCACAGCTCTCCACTGCCTCATGCTATCCTTGGCCCCTTTTATCTCTATCAGCAACCCTGGTGGTGGACTGTTGGAGATATGTTCTGACTGGAGCCCAGAAACAATTCAATTCCCTAGTCCAAAGGCCATCCTGGGGGGAGGTATGTGCATGCTGTTCTGAACAAAAGCAGCTGTGGTCCGCTCCTAAGCAGAGAGGACTAGTTCCTCCCAGTCATCAAACCCAAGGGAAGAACAGCCCTCCTCTGCCCGAGGCGCGGGCCTCTTCAGTTGTGCCCTGGTGCAGGAAGTATCTGCTCAGTCCTGGGAGGAAACTGGCCGGTGGGAACCATCCTGGCTGTGTCAGAGCACTGGCTGGAGTGCTCAGGAGGCGGTTTGGAAACGGGATAGTGCTGGAGAAAGCTCTGACAGAGCTCTGAGAGAGACTGGGAAACAGGCAGGGAGTTGGCTTTACAAGACTAGAATGGCCATAGGCCTAAGCAGCCCAGTGGCCCTGGACAGACAGATTGGCCATGGCTACCACACAGCCAACAGGTTCATTTACTACATAGCAGCACAAAGCGCCTGTGGCTTCCTGTTTACCACCTGGTGTGGTGTCACAAGTACCTGGTACAGTAAATCCTTTCTTGTTCTAGGTGGCTGTAGGGTTACCGCCAAGAATTAATCAAGCTCCCCAAGAAGTCTAGTGGAGATTCCAAAGCAAATTCTGACAAGGGAAGGATCCGCTTGCTACGTCTATGTTTCAGCAAGATCTGCCTCCACTCTTCCAGACATCTGGAGCCACCATGTGAGACTCAGAGGCCTCAAGGATAGTGTGTCTAAATATGTCGAAAAGTAGTCCTTACCTCCAAAAGATAAGAATTTCCCCCAACCTTTCCTGCTTAGCAAAACTTTCCTTTGGGGGGAAAAGTTGTGCCCCAAGTAGAAGAGGTTGAAACGGTACAGGCTTCAAATCAGGAAGGGGCATTCATGAGGTTCCATGCCACATAGGCAAAGCCAGCTCTTCGAAGGCAGCTCAGTGCTGAAGACTTCAAAACACTTGAAAGAAGAGAGGTTGGGGTAGAAAGACAGGAAATGGGGCAGGGATATTACTAACAGTAAGAAAACAGACATGCACAACCTCACAAGGCCACCTGAGAAAGAACAGTCTTCCACTCCATGTCTTTGTCCTTTGTGGTCAAACAGCCATCAGTAAGACATGTTTATGGGCAGTCTTTGTGCTACGGTCTGTCAATGTGGGAGAGAGAAGCCTGGTTTTGAAAATATGGGCCCTTAGGTTCTGATGACGGAAAGCAAGTCATTAACCAAGTAGGCTTGGAGTCCCATCTCCAAGGCACACGCTGGTAGGGGGTGCTCTGCCTTCCTCTTCCTGAAGCTCTTGGCCAGCTCTCTCCCACCCCAGGGCCTTCCCATCAGACTGCCCTTTTGCCCAGCAGCTCAGTAAGCTGCAGGCCTCTACATGGCAGCCCCTCCCCTCGCCTCCTCCCTTCCCCAAAGGCTCCTCAGCTTCCAACCAGCATTAGAGGGCAGTGATTTGGAAAGGGGGTGCTGCAACCCAACTGGCTTCCTGAGTTATAACCTGGGCACTACCATTTCCCAGCTTTGGGTGGCCCATTACAGGGCCTTTCTTGCTGCTGGGATGAAATGAACATACATTTCCTTGATGCCCAGGACACTGAAGGCACCAAAAACGTATCATCAAGAAGAGGAAGGGCTACTCTGAGCCACGAAGATTGCTCATGGGCAACTAGCAGGTGATACAGTCAGTATGTCCTTCAAGTCCACAGGAGGGTCCTTGGACCTGAGGAGACAGGGATTTCCCAGGCCTCATGCTGATCACAGCTATCACAAATCTTACAAGAGGCAAAGGGGAGCTGGGAAAATGGAGGAAGCCAAGGGAAATGGGGATTCCCTCAGGAGTGTTGGACGCCCACCCAAGTGCTCCCTCCCTGAGTTCCCAATCCCTCCTCTTTTCTGCCTATATGCTAAGAGGCAAGGTCCAGGTTTCAGGGCCTTCTTGGCCACTGTGGCACTTCCCAAGCCAGGCCCCACCCACTTGGGGTAGAAGGAGGCCTGGGGACAGACAGCACAAATGTTGGCAGCACAGATGTTACGTTGCCATGGTAACTGCCTAACTCGGTTGAGTAGTTCAGGTTACTAGGGGCCACAACAAGGAAACTGGGCAGCCATGCTGGCTTCCCAAGCCTGTTCCAGGCTCCTGTGGAAGTCTACTGCCCACACCCCTGACCTTTCCTTTCCCAGGCCCAGCCTGTGTTCACCCCCAAGCCCAGGCCTCCCAGACCAATGTCATGGCAAAGTCAAGGAGGCCCTGGCCAGCAGCTTGGCTGCTGGGCCTCTGCCCAATTTGGATGGCCCTGTCCTCCTGGGATAAGAATAGCTGCACTTCACAGCAGAAAGAGCGAAGGCAAATGCTGATGGAGGCCAGGTCTCTCTCAGATGACTGACAAGGCCTGGTGGCAACAGGGCCACAGCAAACTGACAGCTGGCCGACAGGGGGCAGCCGCCCCTCGCCCACAGCCACTTGTGGACAGGCAGATGGCCGTCCCAGAAAACCAGAGGCTCTGCTATATCCGAAGTCAAAATTCAAAGATTCTGTTAGAATCTACTATCTGAACGACAGTGAGTAGGCTGAAGACCATTCAGAGATGTTTTTCTTTAGCCGGTGTCTTCTGGTAGCCTCAGCCACTTCTGTAGACCAGGCTGGCCTCCAACTCAGAGATCCCCCTGCCTCCGCCTCCCTCCAGGCATCATTCAGACTTTTAAAAACAAGAGAGACACGCCAGGTGTGGTGAAGCACGCCTTTAATCCCAGCACTCGGAGGCAGAGGCGGGCGGATCTCTGTGAGTTCGAGGCCAGCCTGGTCTACACAGTGAGTTCCAGGCCAGCTGGGGCTACAGGGAGACCTTGTCTCAAAAACACGAGAAAAAAAAAAAGAGAGACAGACACAGAGAGAGATTAGATATGAGAGAGAGAGAGAGAGAGAGAGAGAGAGAGAGAGAGAGAGAGAGAGAGAATCTCACGACAACAGCAAATTTATAGACGGGACTAGGCCTGGAGGGCAGTTTCCAGCCATGCCCCACAATGGCGGGTATTCACAAATTATGCTCTACTATAAATCACAGGGGCTGGTGTTTGGGGATGCCTTTCTGAGGTACAGGGCTCTGCTTGTCTTACTTTGGATCCACTCAGTCCCTTGGCCCAGTAAGGAGCGCACCTGTATATAATTTTCTAGAGGCCCTAGGTGGCGGGGAACTGAGTTTAGTGCTCTTTTCTCTTTGACACCAGAAACAGGGGCCTGACCCACGGGGTCTGTTCCCCTACTGTTCCTCTGAGATAGGGCTCTGACCTCTCCATCCAGCCTTGTGCTTGAAGTTTCCACAGTTCCGTCTGCCCCCAGCCTCGGCACCTGTTCACATCCCTCACCTGCCCCCGGCGCCAGGATCCTTCCCGGGCCCTCTTCACGGGTACTTGACAGGCTGGGTTTTTTCCAATCCCTAATCCTACCCTGCTCTCCTGACCATATCTAGGCATAGCAACAGTGTCCTCCAAATTCCCCTGTCTTGTCCCTCCACCCTGCTGCCAACTGAGCTGCCATTTGGCCTGTGACATTTAAAAATATCTGTTCATCCTTGCCATATAGAGCCCAGTGGCCCCAGCTGCTGGAATACCGCTACCTTACATGGCCCCACAAGCCTTCCAGCACGCATGCGCACTGACCTACAGCACTGGCCATTCGAACTCTCTTCCCATCATGCTGTCTTAATTTGGCTCCTTCACCCCATGATGGCCCACACAAGCCCATTCCTGCCCCTACAAGGAGAAGTCAGGCAGAGGGCTGGGGGGGCTTTTGAGCGGCAGGGCAAGGTGTGGGCCATCTGCGTGCCTGTGACATGGGAGCACATGCCTGGAGCATGGTGTGATGTCCGCCACAGCTGTCCCCTTCTCCTTGGCTTCCAACCCCAGTGGGCCCCATGGCCTTGCTATTAATACAGTGCAAAGAGGCCGCGCAGCTGGCCAGGGCAAAATGTTTCCACCAACAATGACAACTGCCATGATTTTACCTCCAAATGTTCCCATCATACATTCTTCCAAAAGGGGCCTACTACTGCAAATGTGTGCACTCGGCCTTGGCAAATACAGGAAGTGCCAAAGGTGCAACTGGGTGCAGTTGAGGGCCTTTTGGGGGCTCTAATGATAGGAAGAAGCTGAGGGGAAGTCCTGGGGCTTACGTCGGCACAGAGGCAAAGCCCACCACTCCTCCTCTGGCCTCCACTTCCAGGGTCAGCCCAGCGGGGTGACAGATGTCACAAGGAGCTGAAAGCTGTATGAATGCTCCTGATCTGCTCTCTGGGGAGAGCGGCTTCAACTTACCCAAGAAAAACCCAGAAAGAGCAAGTGGCTAAGTACTGAGGGGCCACAGACTGCGGACAGGAGCATTCACCGTTGACCAAAACTGGCTGGGGAAGCAGTGTGCCTCTGGGATTCCACAAGAGAAGACGGGGTACTAGACAGAGAGAGCAGGGAGGTAGACACCACCAGTAGCTCTCTCAGCCTTCCATGTGCTTCAAAATTCCCTTAACAGGCTTAAATAATATTCTACAAATATTTACAGGGCACCTCTTGATCTATAAGAAGAGCAAAGTCCCTCCACCCACCCAGAAACTATTTCCAGCACCACCGCTCAGAGGTGGTGTCACTCCCCAGATACCAAGGATGATGCCAACTATTCTGAACCCACAGAGACAGGCTGAACACATGCTTTTAAATCTTAGCATTGGGGGTGGAGGGTGCTGGCTCAATGGTAGAACAGTCACTTTCCCATCATGCCTGAGGCCCTGGGTTCTAGCCCCAGCACTGCAAATATTAAGAATAATAAAAGCCAATGAAGATCTAGTATTTAAAAATGCAACCATGAGCTCTGTGCCCTGGGAGTGCCAGGGCAACCTCAGTCCCGGAACAGCTTCTCTGCCAGAAGTGACCAGGGAGTCAACTTCATCCCATGGTCACTGTCAACGGCTCAGGTCCACCAGGCACTCGCAGCTAACTTAGGTCTGCCTGGTTTTGAACTCCATGAAAGGAGTACCAGGCCACACTATGAATCAGTATTTTTAGGCAACGATCTTTTTGGTACCTCACATAGCACAAAGGGGAAAACACCAACCTCCCCCGACCCAAACCCCTGGAAAAACTGGGGGAACTTGAGGATAGAGGGGCATGGGGGATTGTTCTGCTAGGTTGACTGAGACTCGGTTGGAGCACCAGTACCAGCAGGAAGCAGGAGAGCCGGGCCCTGGCGCACTGCTGTTTGGGATGTAGCTCTCCTGAGGCCAAGAGCGCGGGTCAAGCCCTTTACGGTAAAGCTGCCGAGTCTGGGAATGTAAACACGAACAGCAACAGCAAATGTCACGGTGAAGGCCGATCAGGATGGTGACTTCTGCCCATTTATTATTAGGAGGCAAATGTCAGGGAAAGAAAACAGGCCTAAGTCATTTAGTCTGGTTGAAATTCAACAGGCTTCAACTTGTTGAAACCAGAATTCCTCCTACCACTCCCAAAGCAGAGGCGACTTACTGGGTTTTACTGGGTCAAAATCTAACCTGTCATCTTGGTGGAAAATACTCTGGTGGGAAGCAGACAAGCTTTCTGATGAGACAGTGTGGGGCTAGACAAGATGGGAGCCAGGACAGGTCTAGAGGGGATCGGGGAACTCTGCCCCTTTTAAAGCTACATGCTTATCCTCATGCTTACTTTAAAAATAATTAACCAGAGCCAAGCAATGTGGTAATTTTGTGTTCATGTGTGTGTGACTGAGTCTCAAAAAAGTACTTAAGCCACACTGGCCTTGAACTTTCAGTCTTCCTGTTTCCGCAACCCCCGTGCTGGTCCTGGTAGCATTTTTACAGCAGAGATGTAACTTTTCTTTAAAAGCAAGTCCATCTGTGCATGGAAACTGAGCTTATTTAAAGGGAACTGTTAAGTGTACGTCCTGGACGGGCAATAGCAAAAATGACAATGCA